TTCCTTATAAAATTTAAGTACGTCAATTAATTTGATCAATAAGCCTGCAATTGTAAACGACATGTCGGCCGACTGTTCACAGCAATTAAGTCAGATCCTTCAGAAAATATTCGTTCTACTGAGACACTAGTGGCTGGGATCGCAAGGTAGTCTCTGGCCATCATAGCTAGATGTGGATATTCGCATTCATTTTCCTTCCACCAATGAAGAATATTATGGTTTCGTGCTGCTCGAGGAGCCTTTAAATATAATTCTATTTCAGTTTTCTGATCAATTTTCAATCGCTTCCCAAAGATATTATCTAAAAGGTCGTCATCATTAAAAGTATCAACCTCTTGATCGCTATCAGTTTCATGAACAATTGGCATATAATTGTTTTCATAAAGATTAACAACAGTTTCTTTAATGCCGTTAATAAAATTAGCATCCCAATTTTTTTCTTTGTAATAATTTAGTTTTAACCGTGGGTCAAGCACCATCGCGACAGAATATATAGCACTATAATTTGTCCTTTCATAATATTCCTTTAATTTTTTTAAGCCTGCATTCATTGCAATAATTACTTCACTTGAGTTGTTTGAACTATTATAATGCATTTCAAGTTCGTTAATTAAATAATTATAGATTGGAATTGTAGAAGCAAGTAACGGATATTTTGCTGAAGAAACTAGCTTAGTTGTTCGTGCAAATATCTTTAAAATCATTACAATTTCTTTGATTTTATTCCATTCATTATCATTAAGTTCAAATATTTTAAGTTCTTTATTTAAACTTGTAATTGCATCCAATGCTTCACGCATTTCTAATGCTCGTGCAAGCATGTCATGTGTAGAATTCCACCGCGTCTTGACATCTAAAATAAGATTGACATCCTTAAGCCCAGCAGCTTTTGCTTGACGTGCAAATCGTTCACGACGCTGTGGAGAAGATCTGATATTAACAATGAGCTTTCTAAGTTTTGGAATAATTTCTCCAGTATTTAATGATTTATTTAAATTATCCAGAATATCATTCTCTGTTTGTGCTTCACCTGCCTTTAGATTTTTTAAAATGTCTTGCACACCTATATTAATAATATGAGCGATGCACCTGCAACGTAGTTCAGTAGCATCAAACGGGATATTTAGATCTTTGCATACATTCTCTAAACATCTCATAAAAGTGTCATTGTTTGTGGCGTTATCACTAGTAATGGCAAATATTTTCGTCAAGATTCCCAATTCGTGGCAACATTTAACAAATGCATTACATAAGTTCTCTCCAGAATGGGGACCCAAAAGATCAATGAAATCAATTAAAATATTTTTTAGTTCCCAATTATCAGTGATCCAATGTGCCGTGATAGCAAGAAATGAATATGCGTTTGGTGATGTCCATACATCTAATGCAAACGAAATTTTTCCAGGAACATTTTGAAGTAAGATTTTGAGTTTTATATGTTCCTCTTCAAAGCTTTTAATTATATCATTTCTTATTGTATCTCCTCTAGGAACTAAAGCAAGTGGATTTAACAATTTTACTAAACGACGAAAATGTATATTTTCTAAAGTCATAAATGGTTGACTATCAGAGATCACCCATTGTGCAAGAAATTTACGAAAGGTTGCTTGTGAAAATTCAGGTAAAGAGTTACTCTGATTCATAAATTCTTCCAATATGTCTTGTCGTCGTAAATCTTTATCAGGATGATGACTCTCAACATGCCGCCACAAATTCGATGTATTAAAATCTCCAATTTTTCGAAGCCAGGTTTTTTCCCCATTTGGACAAGAAAGACACATTACTTCTCGATGGGTTTTTGCATTAGGATGATCAGGAGGAAGATCTTCTGAAAATAGATGCTCAGAAAATAGCTTACTATGAACTTTTCGTTTTTTAGGGACTGATGAACTATTGCTGGGTATTAATGGTTGGAGATCGGTTTCAGTAGAAATAAGGTCAAGTTCTAATTGAGTATGTTCATTTGACATTTTAAAAAATGATCGTGCACAGTATTATAATGATAAATAAAGACAATTTCGTTTTCTCAATTTTTTTCTTTTTAATTTTTATTTATTTATTTTTTTCTTTTATTGATCGTAAAATATTGTTGTACATAATGATAATTTATTTTAATTTATTTATGTAGCGATAGTTTATTTCTAATATACTTGCGTAGCAATAGTTTATTTCTAATTTATTTACGTAATTGCCTAATTAACCCGGGTCATGTACTGATCAAATGGGGTCGGGTTATCGAACGGGTTGAACAGTACAACCCCGTTTAGTTAGGAGCACTAGTATCGATATTGTAAATATCGTGTTAGTTCGAAACAAGGTCATTTTATAATAATAAAATCTTTATGTCTATCAATTTAAGGTTACAGTTTGTTTTTTCTCTAGATGAAAAAAAAGAATCGTGTTCGTAGTAGATTGATTCAATAAATAAAATAGATTTGATTTCGAATTCTGTAAACTGATAACAATAATTGAATACAATTCAATATTAATAATCAAAACTAGACGAAATCTAATTTGATAGTTCAATAAAATAATATATTACAAAAATTAAAAGAACAAAAAATTGGCCATATTAATCACAGAGAAAATAAAAAACCCTAATGTTTTAAACTAGATAATTTAACAAACATTTTGACTTTAAAATTTCCGATTTTCGATAATTAGAATAAAAATATAAATTTTCGAAATAACAATACTGGTATAACATGCCCCTGGTAAAAACAACATCTGATTTCCAAGCTACTCACAATAAAAATAATAGAAAATATTGGGCTACACTAACCGCTGAACAGAAAATGGAACGAAATAAAAAAATAAAAAAACGTAGAGAATCACAAACCCTATTACTATTGAATTTATGCTATTCAATATTTTAACAATTAATGATTCAACATTTTATTTTTACTAAAAAAAAGTATATAATTCACATTATGCAATCATATATCCTATTTTCTTAAAAAAAAAATCATCAACTTATGCTGCCTTTAAAATCGTAGAGCAAATAAAATT